GATGTCGGGCGATGGTGGTTCTGCTGAGACTGAGCCGTTTGTTCCTTTATCCTCCATGTTCAGATTTATTAAAGATCTTATTTTCTGTCTTATTTTCTGAAGGTTTGAATCAGTTTAATTCATTTCTGTCTGAGGACAACAGGACTGTCCTGCTGGGACAACAGGACACCTGCTGGGACAGCAGGACACCTGCTGGGACAACAGGACTGTCCTGCTGGGACAACAGGACACCTGCTGGGACAGCAGGACACCTGCTGGGACAGCAGGACACCTGCTGGGACAGCAGCCCTGAACTCAGTGTTGTTCCTGCAGAGAAGCTTTGATTAGTGCCATATGAAGAAGCCCCCCAGCCCCCACCCACCCATCCGTCCTTTTATGGACTGAGAAAAGCAGCTCTGGGAGCAGCGGCTCTAGGAGCAGCAGCGGCTCTAGGAGCAGCAGCGGCTCTAGGAGGAAGCGGCTCTAGGAGCAGCACAGTAGCTGAAGACAGCAGGAACTACTGTAGCAGCACATGAACTGTAGAAGCCCAAAGGACGAGACGTGAAGCGGGTCGCTATCCGACCCGTCGCTATCCGACCCCGTCGCTATCCGACCCGTCGCTAACCGACCCGTCGCTAACCGACCAGTTGCTAACCGACCCGTCGCTAACCAACCAGTCGCTAAGTTCATCTGATTTCAGGACGTTTGCTCTGGAATCTTCTGATTAATGGAAGCCTTGTTCCTTCAGCGCCTCCTGGCTGCTGCTGCACTCCTCGCCTCCCTTTACTCCTGGGTCTGTTTGCTTTCCGTCTCTCCTGTCCTCCATGGAGAACATCGGTCCGTCTGGCCTGGTCCTCAGGAGGAGCTGCTCTTCGCTTCCTGTATCCTGCAGAGCTGCAGTCTGGTTCAGAGCTCAAAGCGAGCAGAAGACGGACGCTGATGGTCGAACCAGATGATGTCATCAGGGTTTGACTGTGGCGCTTCACTCGGACCCGTTTACGTAGCAAATAGATCAATCAGCTGCTCTGACCTCCATGTTTGACGTCTGGTTCATCAGTAGACTTGGAACCGTCTCCCCCGTCCTCCCCCGACGTCTGGAATCTGTCAGATCTCCAGCCGTCTCTCCTCCTCCTCCTCCTCCTCCCTGGCTCCCACTGCTGTCACTGCAGCTCCTCACATGCGTCACTCACAGCCCCCCCCCTGCATCATTTTATCAAACATCTCAAAGAGGAAAGTAGATCTTAGATGTTGGAGATGCTCCGTCCTCCTAAACAGGGTCTGCTGTCTACATTCCAGTCCACTATATCTATAGAGCTATTTTTCTAGTGTGTGCTCGTTGGTTCTGGACATCTCTGAAGGAGGTGTTACGGCGCCGGCCCCCCCCATCCGTCTGTCCATATGCTTGTTATTTAAACTGATTAGAGTAGCGGGTTAGCTTAGCCACATATTTAAATCAGAGCATAACTGATGGCTTTTTAAAACTAATTTATATTTAATGTGAAAAGCATTTTGTTTCCCTGAATCTGCCTTCATCCTCCAGCCGCAGCGTCCAGACTCGGGTCCAGACTCGGGTCCAGACTCGGGTCCACATGTGGTTCTGGAGCTCTGGGTGAACGGGCCCAATGGACAGAGAGTTCCAGTTTATGTCCAACCGTCTCTTAGTGTGTCTTTAGATTGTAAACTTTGAAGTGACACTGAAGCCAATAAAGCGTCTTTAAAGGAGATCCAGTTTTCTTTGTCATTCCTGCAGACTTGATGCTTTTTCCACTGATCTGATAAAATGTCTCATTTTTCCATCAACATCGTCTCCCGGTTTACTGGGAGTTTGCTCCATTCCTCCTGCCTGAACTGGTGGAGAGATCCAGACTGGTTCCTGCTGAAGTTCATCCCACTGAAAGAGAGAGAGACTGTCGCGTCCATCAGCTGATTTTCCTTAGATGGAAAACTTTGGACCAATCGGACGGATCTGCCGGGATTGTCGTACGCCGAGGTGACGGATTGTGAAGTGAAGCCAAATGAACTGAATTGAAAACATCAACCTGAAGCTGAGGAGCAGCTTCGTCGTCCTGGAAACCAGACTGGAGCAGAGACCACTAATCACTATTTATTCCTTGGATTGCTGAAGTTATGCTGAAATAAGTGAAGCCGCCGTCCACCATCTTGGTACTCCCCACTCCCACAGAGACATGCAGTAAAATCCCCCCCCGTTCAGCATCTGGCTGCTAAAACCAGCAGTTTTCTGTCTGCAGGAAGACGTTCCACTGGTCATTTCCCAGTCAGTGGATGAACTAAGCAATAAATCCATCTATAGCCGATGGATCCTATAGTTTAGTCTGCAGACTAACATTAGTCTGGCTATCTCAGACTGACTGGAAGACA